GGGTTTCGACCTCGCAAAGCGCTTATTAACGCCCCCAGCGGGAACCGAACCATGGTAATATGGAATATGAGTTTGATAAGCTAACAACTCGGGGACATTATCGCGAGTGCCCTTGTATCACAGGGCGGATGTGAATTTAAAGGAAGGCCATGCCTTCTCGCATCCATCAAGCTCACATTGTCACGGCTTGACTTACGCCTTGGGGGCTGTTAAGACTTATGCGAGGTCGAAACTGCAGTCCAACCTGGATGAGAACACCTTTCGAGAGAGCAAGGCTATGTAAAATTCAATCGAAACGCCAGTCCTAATTATATCAGTAGGTAGATTTTACTACTAGTCCTTCATCAACTTAAAATACTGTGATTACATCGCATAACTGTTTTGCTGGTAGTCTCGAAACTAGTTACTTACGAAATAATCATTTACGTATTTGATTGTTATAGTAAAAATAAGTTTGCTTAATCGGTAATCTCACCAAAGATTGTGATATGGGAAGAGACCTGGCTTTCCTGTAAAATGCACATCTGCAGTGACCTAAGGGTACTCGTGGCAATGTCCTTGAATGGCTAACGTGTCAAACTCATTCTGCATTCTCATGATCTGGCTCCCACTCGAGGTGTTGGTAAGACCTATGTGAGGTCGAAACTGCAGTCCACCCTGGATGAGAACATTTTTTTGGAAAGCAAGGCTATGTGAAAATCAATGGAAACGTCAGCTCTACTCATATCATTGTAAAAAATTCTGCTACCAGTCCTTCGTCATATTATACTAAATAAGGTGAATACATCTCGTATGACAGATATATTGGTAGTCTCGAAACGAGTTACATAGAAAGAATAAATTAAATCACTGCTTGGCTGCTTGAATTCTGGCTGCCTAAGAGCCTCCAATATCCGCCCTTTATTTCTATGTATTAGAGCAGATGATACCCATGTCCATGACCATGTAAATCCCCAGGAATCTTTCTGTTTCTATGCTTCAAACGATTCAGACATCCTCTTCCTAATCCCCACTTCTATTATATCTCATTCTTTGGGGACCTGTATCCAAATAAGTCATAGCCGCTGGTGTGATCGTGTTCCGATTTCCATTTTCCCCTGAATTGCGATAGGCACACTCTTCTCTTCCTCTACAATTTAATAATCTTATGGTACTAGGATGTTCGTGTGCATGTTGGTTGGTGTGCCCCGTGCTCAAACATGTCACTGTTCGTCTCACCTAGAGGCACAGACACAAAAAATGAACACAAGTACCCCCCACTCACTGGTTACCCATAGATGGTCCGCCTATACCTTTAGCCTATAATTTCATATACAATGTCTCACAGGTAGACCCCCTGGATAGATTTTTAGGCTAATTCCTAGTTTGACTCCTCTCATTTCATTCGCCTTTATTCCCAATGAGCCTCTTCTTGGAGATGTTTCTTCCTATTGTTGACAGTTATACTGGGTCCAAGCGTCTTCTTTTTGATGTCCTCGCCCAATTTCCAAGTCTGCCCAGGCAGTACGCGAAATTGTTGTTGTATTGTTGTACTTTTCTCTTCTAATCTCCTGCTAATCAGATTTCTTTGGAGGAGGATGTCCATAGCACCCCTTATCCTCTTTTTCTTGGTGTTTTACCCATATAGTTAGTCTCCCCGTTTTCCTCACTTCAATTGTGTAGCCAGTAAGGGAGATGTGTTCATCTGTTCGACTGTGGACATCCTCTGCAAAATGAACCTTATTAGCAGAGCAGACTTTGAAGTTCACCGAGGAAAGCAAAATGAAGACGCTTGGACACAGGATAACTATTCAATAATAGGGAGATACATCACCAAGAAGAGGCCCATTAGGAACAAAGATAAATCAATGAAAGACGAATTAAATGAGAGTTAAACCAGGAATTGGCCAAAAATTGATCCAGGGGGTCTGCCTGTGAGACGTAGGATATGAAATTAAAGGCTGGTGCAATTTTACACCAGCGGTTATGACTTAAGCCGGACGCAGGGCATCAAAGAATGGACACATTGTGTTTACGATGGCGCCTTTCACTGATGATGACGGCGAGACTTTTGGAAATGTACAAAGGCAATGGTCCAATATTCGAAATCACAAATACTATGACAGAGGACGCGGGACTAGATACGTTCCAAAAGCTATCCCTAACATTCCTACAAAGTTGTGAAAACAAGGTCGAACAAACACTATAAAGCTAAAAGAGACGTCAACTACATAGAAGCCCACATTATCTTGGTCCCCATATCTAAGTTGCATTGCTTATTTTCCGTTTATAAGTATGCTTTAGAGACTACAAGTAGATCCAATACAAAAGCTGTATTCACAATTTAGGATGTACGATATATATGATGTTCAATGGAAACATGAGACACACATCAATGTGATAAAATTCAACCAACAGCTATTATACGAAATATGTTGAATACAGCTCCTATATTAGATGGTTGATAGTCTCAAAAGCCTACTTATAAACGTGAACTAATAAACTTCATATTTTCATCTTAAAAAGTGAGCTTAATTGATCATCTTAAAACTTTGTCATAATTAAATTGAATCGCTTGTGTTGTTGCTGCCCAAACAAGAAAACAGAATAGGAAATTTCAAGACTGTACAGTAGAGTACAAATTGATTATGCTACCATGTGCAGATGATCTAGCCCAATCCGAATTTCTTATATGAATATAAAAGGGCCTCCCGGTATTTTTCACCATATTCTCAGAAAGGCGTTCGCCCAAAATTATAATTTGTATGAGAAAACAGATAGGATGACAAATATATGGAGATATCTTTATCGTCAAGTAATGC